TCACTTCCAGGCCTCTGTTCCTGGATCACTTTTATTATCTTAAACCAAAGCTAATAATCAAAATGACTGTAAGAACTAGCCACTTCATTGCTTGCCACTGATCTCTCTCAGGCTACCACATTTCCCAGCTGAGCTCTCATCCTTTATAGGCAATCCATGACCTTACTGGATCCAACAACAGAAAAGAGCCAGAACAGAAACAGCTTCAAAAATGGCCAATTGGGTGAAAATCTGACCCCGCATTGCATGAGGTATCAGATAAAGATGTTACAAAGTGTTGCATCCTTTGTAACTTGTGTTTCTGAATTCCCAGCCTGTGGCTGTTTTCAGAATGAGAGGGGGGAAAGGAAGTGGAAGGAGTTCAGTCTGGGGTGTTCAGCCCCCTCTTGGAGGGTAGGGCAGGTGAATTGGGTAGAGCAGGTCTGCTGTATGAGTTACAGACAACAAATCTACTGATTTTACTGGAGCTAGGGTTTCACCTCATCAAAATTCTGGGACAGCAAAAAGGATGCAAGTTTGATTTCACATAAACCAATGAAACTGTATAGTGGGATTTATGGTGAAAAAAGAATCAGAATCTTGCCCTTGCCTACTGCTGCAGTGTGTCCCTTTTGCATGGAAACTGAAAGCAGCCACAAATTTGATTGTAGCTGCCAGAAGGCCCATGTCTGCCAGACCTTTCCCATATAAGCAACTTGTATCTATCATACTAGCTTTTGATGCAGGAGTGTGATGGCTGGCTCTCACCATCACCTCCCAGGCCTTTCTTACTGGATCATTTTATTAACTTATATGAAAACTAATAGTTTTATAGTTTCATATTAGCTAGGGTCAGGAGGGACCTAAACAGATCATCTAGCCTGACCCGCTGCCACAGGCAGAAATGAATGCTGGGTTTGCAAGACCCCAGACAAGTGATCATCTAATGTCTTTTTTAATTTAATAATCAAAACTACTGTAGGAACAAGCCACTTCATAGCTTGCCACTGATCTCTCTCAAGCTACCATGAGCGACTAGTGCCTCCTGAGTGTGGGGGGGCACCAGGAACCAATTGCTGACCCCGGAAACGCCGGTGGCAAAACTGGTGCTTCTCTTGGTGCCCCCACTCTCCGGCCGGTGAGGGCCAATCTCAGAGGGGGCATGTGTCCCCCCATACCCACCTTATGCATGCTGCCAGGCTACCACATTTCCCCACTGAGCTAACAATGGGAAAGGATAGGAGATCACTCACATGGCAGTCAGATGATAGACATGGTAGGAGGAGTATTGTTGGAAACAAGACAAATGCGCCAGACTCAAAACAGAAGGAAAACCCACATCATTAGAAACTGTATTGCTTTTAAACTGATCAGCTCTTTGGACATTCATCATTATCTGCTCTTCTGAGCTTGTGCAGAAGTTTTCTGCTTCTCAGGACTGAGCAGGGTTTCCAGCCCCTTTCTTTTTCTCTTGACTTTCGCTGATTTTCTATATTTCTCTTAACTATTCTATTTTCCTCTTCCTCAGCAGCTTCAGGCAGCAACTAATCTAAAGGAGTTTATAGGCAATTAGAACAGGAAGGTTAGTATGGGTGTCAGTGATGAATCAAACATAAAATGGTGTTTAAAGACAGCTGCATTACAGCTGCATCCTAGAGGGATGTATAATATTGTATAAACACCTCTCAGGATGGAGTGCCACAATCACTGAACAGGGTGTTGGCCTACAATAGGTTTTGTGCTTTTCAATTTCTATCACACTTTGGGGCCAGGTACAGATATTACATTTTTACCAGTATAAGAAGTCTGGCACACACAGACTGGTTTAAAGGTAGTAGAACCTGGTCTAAGATCCTACCCTCCCCCGAAACCAAAGGGCGAATACCTGTTCTGTTCACTGCCAATCTAAACTATGCCACTTACAGAACACTGTGTAAATTAGATGGATTCCATGTCAGGCTTTTTGAATGTCTGTACCTAGCCTGGGGGTGTAAAAGCAGCCACTATTTTAATCACCACAACAGGACAGTATGCAAATCCAAATAACTTGTTATAACTAAAGGTCCATTGAAACCTGTAAACAAATCCTATGCAGAGCAGAAACCTATCTGAGAAGTTAATGAGAGCATTGGCTAGGAGATGGCACCAGAATCCCACCCCTAGGAGTCTTTGCCATGGCAGGGATAACTCTGTTCAGAGCTTCCCCTGCCCGGCCACAGGAGCTAGGCAGGGAAGCACCATAACAAGCACTATCTAGGGAGTGGGAGTGTGTGGAGCAAATAGGATGATGATCTCTTCACCCTGGGGAGCCTTTGCCAGAGTAGGCACAGCATTGCACCCAATATGTACATAGTAGTGAATGGCAGGGACCAGGTTCAGCTCCCAGGAAGCCTTGCTATGGGGCTCCTGTGGCCTGAGTGGAGCTCCTGCTGCTATAGTAACAGTAGAAGTAGCCTGGGAAGGTAAGTCTTCTTTTCATCCACATTCCCTCACCTCAGTCTACAATGCTTGGTATACCCCTATGGCACCCCTCTTCCCCTCCAGCACTCTGTGAGCTCGCTATACCTCTGCACAAACCTGCTAGTGGGAATACAGCTAGCTGTATACCACAGCAAAACACAGAACCCTAACCCACCTCCTCTCTCTGTCCCCATGCATTCATTTCCAACATTAGTCCATTAAACTTATCTTATATACATTTCTTAAGAATACAGGGTCAGCCCACAGGTGCAATCCAGCATGACCTCCCATGCCAGATCTGGCCATGGTGCAGCCCCACACACTAGTATGACCCCATGTGCTAGATTCAGTGGAAGCAATGATAGCTGTGGCTCTGGAAGCACTAATTCTGCTATTGCTCCCCTACTGCCAGGTTCCTGGACTTGTAGGGAACCACATTGAACAAATAATACAGCTCCACAGGCAAGTCCCAACCTGTGGCATGGAGGGTTAACACTATAAGTGGAATGTTCCAAGATTATCCCAATTCTAAGAAAATGCTCCAGGAAGTTAACATTTAAGCAAATATGTTCAATAACAATTCCGTACTTCGAATTCAAAATCAGAGACATGTTATAACATGTGTTGACTTTTTGTGAACAGACATGATAGTATAAATAGTCCTGCAGTTCCATAATTTTTCTAACCAAGAAATGTGGAGAGAGAGACAAACGGTGATGGTGTTTAAGAAGGAAAACCCACATCATTAGAAACTGTATTGCTTTTAAACTGATCAGCTCTTTGGACATTCATCATTATCTGCTCTTCTGAGCTTGTGCAGAAGTTTTCTGCTTCTCAGGACTGAGCAGGGTTTCCAGCCCCTTTCTTTTTCTCTTGACTTTCGCTGATTTTCTATATTTCTCTTAACTATTCTATTTTCCTCTTCCTCAGCAGCTTCAGGCAGCAACTAATCTAAAGGAGTTTATAGGCAATTAGAACAGGAAGGTTAGTATGGGTGTCAGTGATGAATCAAACATAAAATGGTGTTTAAAGACAGCTGCATTACAGCTGCATCCTAGAGGGATGTATAATATTGTATAAACACCTCTCAGGATGGAGTGCCACAATCACTGAACAGGGTGTTGGCCTACAATAGGTTTTGTGCTTTTCAATTTCTATCACACTTTGGGGCCAGGTACAGATATTACATTTTTACCAGTATAAGAAGTCTGGCACACACAGACTGGTTTAAAGGTAGTAGAACCTGGTCTAAGATCCTACCCTCCCCCGAAACCAAAGGGCGAATACCTGTTCTGTTCACTGCCAATCTAAACTATGCCACTTACAGAACACTGTGTAAATTAGATGGATTCCATGTCAGGCTTTTTGAATGTCTGTACCTAGCCTGGGGGTGTAAAAGCAGCCACTATTTTAATCACCACAACAGGACAGTATGCAAATCCAAATAACTTGTTATAACTAAAGGTCCATTGAAACCTGTAAACAAATCCTATGCAGAGCAGAAACCTATCTGAGAAGTTAATGAGAGCATTGGCTAGGAGATGGCACCAGAATCCCACCCCTAGGAGTCTTTGCCATGGCAGGGATAACTCTGTTCAGAGCTTCCCCTGCCCGGCCACAGGAGCTAGGCAGGGAAGCACCATAACAAGCACTATCTAGGGAGTGGGAGTGTGTGGAGCAAATAGGATGATGATCTCTTCACCCTGGGGAGCCTTTGCCAGAGTAGGCACAGCATTGCACCCAATATGTACATACTATGGGAGAGTGAATGGCAGGGACCAGTGTCAGCTCCCAGGAAGCCTTGCTATGGGGCTCCTGTGGCCTGAGTGGAGCTCCTGCTGCTATAGTAACAGTAGAAGTAGCCTGGGAAGGTAAGTCTTCTTTTCATCCACATTCCCTCACCTCAGTCTACAATGCTTGGTATACCCCTATGGCACCCCTCTTCCCCTCCAGCACTCTGTGAGCTCGCTATACCTCTGCACAAACCTGCTAGTGGGAATACAGCTAGCTGTATACCACAGCAAAACACAGAACCCTAACCCACCTCCTCTCTCTGTCCCCATGCATTCATTTCCAACATTAGTCCATTAAACTTATCTTATATACATTTCTTAAGAATACAGGGTCAGCCCACAGGTGCAATCCAGCATGACCTCCCATGCCAGATCTGGCCATGGTGCAGCCCCACACACTAGTATGACCCCATGTGCTAGATTCAGTGGAAGCAATGATAGCTGTGGCTCTGGAAGCACTAATTCTGCTATTGCTCCCCTACTGCCAGGTTCCTGGACTTGTAGGGAACCACATTGAACAAATAATACAGCTCCACAGGCAAGTCCCAACCTGTGGCATGGAGGGTTAACACTATAAGTGGAATGTTCCAAGATTATCCCAATTCTAAGAAAATGCTCCAGGAAGTTAACATTTAAGCAAATATGTTCAATAACAATTCCGTACTTCGAATTCAAAATCAGAGACATGTTATAACATGTGTTGACTTTTTGTGAACAGACATGATAGTATAAATAGTCCTGCAGTTCCATAATTTTTCTAACCAAGAAATGTGGAGAGAGAGACAAACGGTGATGGTGTTTAAGAGTATGATTCTTTTAGTGTCATTTCAACTACTGCTTGTGGTGAGAGGTTCTATGGTATGGCTGAAAAACGGTGGCTATGAGGACATTGTTATTGCAATTAACCCCCATTTACCAGAAGATGACAAGATAATTGGAAATATACAGGTAAGAATGCTGGTGTTCATCTGTATGTCATTCAGAGATATTCCTTAGTTATTTTTCTACTTCTGAAGTAATCATAGTGCTAAAATGGACAGATTCTGCTCCCATTGATATTGGTGGGAGTTTTTCCTCTGATTTTCAGTTCCCTGTGTAGTAGGTATGTTCTTTTCTTGAATTTTTCTTCTCATCTGTTGTTGCTAATGAGAGCACTAATCTTTGGAGGCTTAACTTGAATATTATTCCTCAATCCAGTAGAAACTCATTTTCTACTACTTCTTTCCAAAATGTATTTACCCAAGAATCTTTGAAACATGGATTTGTAATGAATCAGCAGTTACTACTCTACAATTCTATCATTAGTCGTATTGGCCTCTACACCTTCAATTAAAAAAGAGGAAGAAAAGTGTGTAAAGCTGCAGCACTATTTCTGTACTTAATATGTTACATTTTCTGAGTGAACTTCTTCTATCCCCTTCACAACCTCCTCAAAAGCACCCTACTCATGTGTCTCTAGCCACCAACTCTCTTGCAGGGAGGAAGTCCTCACTAGGACCTTGGGCTGCAGTCTTCTTGCAATATGCTGGGACAACTACACATAAAATTAATGCAAAGCAATAAACCCTGGGACACATCGTGCTAGAGTTTATTGCTCCTGGACTCTGTGTCTTCATATGTGCCCAGGATCGTAGCAAGTTAAGGCAGGATAGAGCAGCCCCAGCTGGCAGAAGACTTGGGCGGTTGGGAGGTTGGGGGGGAAGGGAACAGGGTGGTGATCCTGCCAGGCCAGAGCTGCTCCAATCCAGCTTAATGTGCTGCAGAGGGGGTGGCTGGGGCATGAGGATGCTTCAGTGCAAGGCTAGAGCCAGCAGGTAGCCCTGTACTGAAGCACCTTCATGCGCCAGCCAGACCTGTCAGCATCTACATGTGCATTGCTGTGGAGTAAAGAACTCTGCCTCAGATACTACTTGTATTTACAATTACTAACCTGTGGTGGAGTTAATTAGTTTACTGTGACCTAATAGGGCCGCATGTGTAGACATTGAGACTTTACTGTAGAGGTTATTAGGCAGCTCCAAAGTAAATATCTCATGTAGATGTGCCCACTGTGATCATCCTAGAACAGGGGTGAGCAAAATACAGCCCACAGGCTGGGTTCAGCTCACTGAGATAGTTTGTTCAGCCCGAGGGGCAGCCTGGGATAAGGGGCACGTGGCTGGCCCTGCTACCCCGAGGTGCGCAGCAGGGCTGGGGCATTATAGCAACTGGACTCCATTTCCCAGGAGCCCCAATCATGGTGGTTCCTTCTGGCTGCTGCTACCAGACCCAGACCCACTGCCTGTGCACCCCATCCTGTCCACCACACACCTACCGCTGGGAGTGCAACCCACACAGACAGGGTGCATGGCTGGATGGCTGGGATGGGGCAGTGGTCTGGTGGAGAGTAGTGTCCGGGAGTAAAAGGTGTGGGTGGGGCTGGGGAGACCCCGGGATCTTGGAGTAGAGACAGGGGCTCTGCCCCAGCTCCATGCTGTCACCACCCCAAGAACTTGGCCCAGCCCTAGCCCCGGCCTCGAATGCAGGTCCCTGCCCGACCACACACCCTGCCCACACAGCTCCTTGCAGTCTCCATGGAAACCCTGGGATTGCAGGGTGGTGACAGCACAGGGTGTGGACCAGAGCTGAAGCAGAACCCCAGTTCTACAGGCAGGGACATGTAGGGAGTGCATCATGAGTCTGCCCTGGCCCCAGGCTGTCACCACCCCATGATCCCAGAGCCTCTATGGAATCCAGCCAAGAATTGGGTGGGGAGTTGCATGCACAGCCAGGATCTTGGCATAATGACAGTATGGGGATAGGACAGAGCTTCAATCTGCTCCCTGCATGCCCCTGCCAGTGGAAACTGTGCCCATCGCACAGGTATGTGGGCAGCAGATTGCGGATCTGCCCTAGGCGCCAGCCCTGGGCTGTCACCACCCTGTGACCCCACCCTGTGATCCTGACCTCGCAGGCCCATCCTGCTCCCTGCCAGCCCGCAGCCCCATCACACATAGGGACTTTGGTGAGCTATTGTGTGGGGGGGAGAGAGCTGCTGACCCAGCCTGCAACAGCTCAGCAAAACTCCGTATGGAGTCCACAGGCCCAAATAATTGCCCACCCCTGCCCTAGAAAGTCTAACTTTCAAACAGTGCCGGATCCTAATCTGCTTCAGGGAAAATGACGTCGATATTCAGACAGTTTTCAAACAGCAAATTTTTTATTACTGAAAATCCCCTGTGGGTTCAGTACACCACGCTGACTCCCTCTTCATTGCCCCAGGTCATGGCCACGAAATGGCGGACAGTGCAAGAACAGGACCCAGATGTGCGAGAGGTGCTGTGTGCCCAGAGATCAGGGAATACCTGGCCCACGACCCTTTAATAATGCTACCCCAGCAGCCTACCTCCTGTTGAAGGAGTGGGAAAGGCTTCGCTTGTTTGATGGAGTGCTATATCGGGAGGTGCAGGACCCAGAAGGACGGAAATATTGGCAGCTGGTCCTCCTTCAGAAGTATAAGACCCTTGCGTTACGGGCCTTGCATGATGACTTTGGACACATGGGAGTGGAGCACACCCTGGCACTAGCCCATGAGTGGTTCTTTTGGCCCAAAATGGCTGAAGATGTAAGGACTAAATGCTCAAACTGTGATCGGTGTGTGCAGAGGAAGACCCTGCCCACTCGAACTGCCTATCTACACACCATCCAGAGGTCAAAACCCATGGAGTTCGTGTGCATGGATTTCCTAGCCATAGAAGGGGAGGGGCACTGAAAGGGGAATGTGCTGGTTGTGACAGACCACTTTACCCGATATGCCCAGGCCTTCCCTATGCAAGATCAAACAGCAAGAACAGTTGCCAAAGTGCTGTGGGAAAAGTACTTCTCCGTGTTTGGGCTGCCTGCAAGAATCCACTCTGATCAGGGGTGAGAATTTGAGAGCCGGTTGTTGCGTGAAGTACTGACAGTGCTGGCATACACAAATCTAGGACTACACCATACCACCCCCAAAGGGATCCCCAACCTGAGCGCTTCAATCACACTCTCTTGAACATGCTGGGTACCCTCCAGCAGGAACAGAAGGCCGCATGGAGCCAGCACATCGCATACCTGGTGCATGCCTACAACTCCACTAGGAATAATGCAACGGGGGCCAGTCCGTATTTACTCATGTAACTCTGGGCACGACACTACATGCGCCCTCACCTGAATAATGGGATCCTGGGGTACCCGGTAGCCAGTAGCCCTGCCCAACCCCCCTGGGAAGCTGCTGCAGTGCCCCCGAGCGGAGAGCCTCCCCTTACAATCAAGCACCCTTGCAGACAGTTCTAAAACTATTTACAAGATTTAATTATTACATCATAACAAATAATCATTAAATAAGCACATGGATATACTGCCTAATAAACCCTTAAGAACTTATTTACACAGTCTCTCACTTGCACACGGTGTACTGGGGATCCCGTGTACACTGCCCCTGGCGGGGTATCTCAGGGAGCAGGACTGTCTGTGTCCCTGCACGTGGTCCCTGGCACTGGTGTCCGTCTCCGTGCTCCTGGGGTCTCCAGGCAGCAAGCAGCAGCTCCTCTGCAGTTCTTGCAAGACAGCCTTCCCCTGCCTTTGCCCCCTTCCCTGGTTCTGCTGGGAGCAGTGTCTGGGCTGCAGGCTGTAGCAACCCTCCTGCCCCACACAGCCTCACAGCCCTGGCAAATGCAGCCCCTTCCTGAGCTTTGCCTGCCCCTGGGGCCCCTCACCCCTCAGGGAAACTAGGGCAGACTCTGGCAGTCCCCCCGGCTCTGCTGTGCTCACCCAGCCACACCGGTTCCAGTCAGGTCTCTCCAGACTTGGTTCTCCCCACAAGCAGTC